TTTTGTTTTTCACAGAAAGTCCCTCAGCCCTTTTCAAGTTCATGAATAAATTGCGCACCAAAAAAAATCGCACATTGCAAAAAAAAGGAGTAAACAAACAAAAAATCAAATGAGCACTCAATAAAAACATATCAAAGTCTTACTAACTGCAAGTCACAAAGCAATCAACGGGAGCTATAATCAGTTGCTATAGGAAGAGCAAAGTAAATCAAGCACTTCGAGAGCATGGCGAGGCGTTAACTCTTGAAATGTATCTATGGATTATGTTGATCCCGTCGCATGAGTCATTTTTATAAGATGAAAGTTTGTTGAAGTCTTACACCATTAAAACCCAAAAAATGAGAAATATAAAGGAACAGGTGTGCATTTTTTTGTATTATAAAAAGCCAATTGGGACAAAACGGAAAATACCAAGCAACTAAATATTAACATAATAAGTTCGATCGATTGATATACGAAAACGAGCGAACCAAAGCAGTAATTTCAAATTTAGAAAAACTTGTTAAAGCAGCATGAAATTTCGAGCTGTAACATGTCACAAGAATTAAAATTTAGGACAGTAACTCGGCTTCTAACAGTAGTCTCACGGCGGAGTTAAATGCAGTGTACGCAAAACTTCACAGAGACATATTTCCTTTCACGACATAATCCTATTTAGACATACAAAATCATTCCCGTCACATATACGACACATTGAACAGATGTCTAATATAAGACACGGACTGGAGGTGTAGGTCGAAGTTCGGGGATTGCCGATTGCGAACCAAAGAAAGTTATGACAACTCATGAAGGCTTGGAGTTCATTACACCCTCATATTTTCGCTGCAGACTTGAAATTTCGGCTGGCAAGTTCTCTGAGTCAATGCAGGGTATTGGATGCAATAAGAAAAGGTAGCAACATTGATAACGAGTAGTAAAAGTTTGTACCTAGTGATAACAACGAAACATGGTTCAACATGCTCAATCAGCGCTCTCACACGTACAACGTGGTGAACCGGTCAGCCAATATCAGTATCAAACTGCTGAGCTACAAGCTTTTCTTGTTTGAACTTGTTTTGACTTGATGATTTCAAATGCTGATGTTGGGTGGCCGGCTCACCACTCTGTACATATGAATGCAGATAAGCTATAGCATAAGGCCATTGAAATGCTCGGAAAGCTCAAGTACGGGTTCCCGACCTGGGCCAAAGTTTCCTCCAGTTTTTTCTAAGTCGCTAACCTTATGAGATTTTCGGATCGTTTATTGCGGCGAAATAACAGCAAAGAACAAGAACGTCAAGCCGGAGCTTGGTTTATTACTTGCAGTATACTCATAAACCATTTTGTTATTATTTATTTTTATTTCCAATCTTTCACTAGTTGGCCTCCATTTCGATAAAGCATTGAAAAGGAGAAAGTGGCTCAACACTTCAGAAAAGCGAACCCGCTTCTAAGTGGGACAACGCCATTGAAGAAGAAGTATACTACAACCGCATCACAATAAAAGTTTGAAAGACAAGTAGGGACCAAGTTTTATGTCTATTCCAGTACCAATTTAAACAAAACTCATTCAATCACCGTTATGAAACCTCGTCAAAAGGTTTTCCTTCTCAAGATGACAAAGGTGTTGAGCAGCGACCTCTTTACACTTGGTAGAGTTCATTACTGACAGCGACAATATTACCAAGTATCACTATTTGCCTCTGTTGACAATTCGTAAACTAATCACTAAGCAATATAATTGTCGCCGCGATTCGGACGGAACCGAAAAAGGGAATTCAATGTGACTGTTTGTTTGCGAACATCAGAAGAGATTGAACAGGAATATATAATCATGAACGTAACCGCCAGTGAATACCAGTTACACTCCCATGCTCGCTCTCTCTTCTCTCCTTCTCTCTCTTTCTCTTTCTCTGCGAGGCTGAATTAGAAAATTTCACGAAGCTGTTTGATAGTGTTTTAGAATTCGGAAGGCGTTTCGAGACAAGGGAAGGAAAATAAGAAGTTCGTGGAGGAAAGTGCATCGATTTGAGCGGGACTGAATGTAAGAAAAGCTAAGTTGCTCTAAACTTTGCAGAACCCTGAAGAAAAAAAGGGTATCGACTATCAACAAAAAAATTTGCTCAGTTGTGGTGCATGGTGCACCGTCAGGAAATGGTGGATAGTAATAAGCAAAAATTAGGATTCAAATATTAATTTTGGACGTATAGCGAAAGGGCGGAGTCGAAAAACCAAAAACACGCCAGATTTTCAGACAGTTAATCCTATGGGTCTATGGAACTTTTCCTCCTTGTCCTTCCACACCAGTGGGAGTATTAAGGAACCGGCACGCAGAGATTGAAGTTGGGCACTCTACGAGCCTTATGTACATCGTGTACAGCGCTTCTCTCAAAGAGAATAAAGGTCCAGAAAACTAAATCAGGCATGCACCCCTACTTTTGAGGGATTTTGAGCTGGATTTGAGGAGAATGCTGTGCTACAAGCTACCCCCACGAGGGCATACCACCATCGCTGTCAATTGGATTATTAAAGTCTACAAACTCGCCGAAGCGTTGTGAAAAAAAAAACGAAACGGGAGCATTAGTTGGAGCACTGCAGTGGATAACAGTGGCAATTAAATTAAGTGACTATATGGTTGAGTTCCATAACTGCCTGATTGATTTCCATAAATGCTACCGATAGAGGGGCATAATCTACTGAAATTGGCAATAGTTTTGATCAACAGTACAAACTTACCAGTTGAGCTCCTCTGCTACCTTTGAAACACGATTCGCGATTACACTTCAGTTCACTGGTCAGTCTTTTTTTGTGGCGGATCACGCGAATGAGAAACTGTACATACGAGCACTTTAATAACCAGGGAAAAATGTCGTAGAAAGGAAAGACTGATAACAAAGAAGCGAGGCCGACGGTGAGAAAAAACAAAGTGGGACTACACCCGAGACTCGCTTTTTTGGTTTTCGACGTAGGTCGCACACATTGCCACCCAAGATTCATTCTCTCCTACGTGAGGCAAGTGTAGGAGTTCCCATATCAAAAGAGTGACGTCAAGAAACAAATGGAGAGCGATTACTGAGCTGACTTGGTTCTTGATTCATGTACATATGACTCAGTTCTTCTCGAATATTGGGGCGGGTTCGCAAATCAGTGATATCAAGATTATTGCCTTACACTTGAGAACCACTGCAACCTCCCATCCCCAAATAACAAAGCGAAACTGCAAGCTGAAGCAGTAAAAGCTTTTATTAAAGGCGCAGTTCACGATAAAAATGGTTTCTGAGATTTGCCCTATGTGATGTATTCAAGGTACCTTCACATACCACATCTGGCGCCATTCTGTCGGAAAACGGCCTAGTTAGGGAATTGTAAGGGCTCGAAGATTGCGTCCTTTGTATCCTTGGACGAGTTCCACCGGCATTGTAAAGGATGCAGCGATCACAAGGAAATCCATGTAGAAAATTCAAACAACTTGTCATGACAAATAGCGACAATGAAAGGAAGTTCTGTACAGTTCTGGCTTGATGTAGTCAGCTCTCTGCACAATTGCAACAACTGAAATCTTGTCCGAATACTTCTTACATGTTATTTCCGTCATTGTAATCTCGTCCAACCTCTATTTTCCTTAATTTTAAGAGCCTTTTTTTCAAATCGGCGGTTCTCTCGCTTTCTGCACTTCCAAAGAGGTACCTCAAATTATCGTCCCTTTATGTGAGCAAGACTCTACTTCAAGCACCCCCACTGAACCACAGCAGAAAAGTACAAAGGCAAGCTTAAATTTTTTCAGAGATATTGCGGCAGGTATGAATTCAAAATGTTATACCTCGGCTGGAACAAAATTCAACCAGTTAGAGTGAGCATCATTATAGTCAGCACATAATTGCTATCATTTGGATCATGA